ATATGGAATGTTAAGCACACTATCATGATACTGATCATGTTTCACTTGATGATCTTTCTTTGCTGCCTACTAGTTACTGTATGATTCAATGCACATGTTATGTCAACGATATCTGTACTGGCTCCATAAGGTTATGTGAACCGACAGTGATAAGATAAACTTGTCATGAAACTGGTGAACTGCTATGCTTAGGCCGGACCGGATTCGCCTATGCAAGTATTGTCCGTTTTGGTGCCCCTACCGGAGTTCGCCACCCGCACGGTTTTAATCAGTATCCATACTCAACGGCCGTGTAAGCCGGAGTTCAACTGTATGGGGCGCAAGATTGCTATTCTATGTCGCGACATAGCTTATTAACATGGTTTCTACTAACCTAATGGAGCTTAAAGATTAGCATGTAAAAATGTTACACAATAGCACATAAATGGTCTTCACAAATGTCATCGTTCAATCATATTGGATCTTGATTTCCATCAATATGAATGCTTGTTGTTTTGTTTTTAATTCATGTTCGTTATGGTTGTATTTTTGTTGTAAAGATGATTGGGATGCATGCATGTTGAGCAAGGAACTGTAATTACCATAGCAATGAAACGGCAAAAGACAAAGCATCAGTCGCGAGCGCGACATTCCAAGTCGCGAGTGCGAGATGCTTCCCAGAGAGAAGTCGCGAGCGCGTCTTCAAACCTCGCGAGCGCAAGAAATGCATTTGAGAGTCAGAGGGTTTTCTGGCTCAAGTCGCGACCGCGCAGCACACGTCGCGAGCGCGCTTGTGTGATTCGCGAGCGCGAGATGCGCACACTGAGAGTCAGAGAGCTTCTGGCCAAAGTTGCGACCGTGCATGTGATCCTCGCGAGCGCGAGTTGTGCAATTGAGAGTCAGAGAGCTACCTGACTCAAGTCGCGAGCGCGCAATAGGAAATCGCGGGCAAAGTCGCGACCGCGCATGTGAAAAGTCGCGAGCGGCCGAACTTTGCTTTCCCAGACCGGCGAGCCGCGCGACGTGTTTTCCAGATTGTGCAGTCTGTGTTTCTTTTTGCCATAACTCTCAATATATCCAACTTCAAATTGAATGATTCAAAAACCCACGTAAAGCTAACACATAGAGAAACAAATAACTCTTCTATGACACTTCCTAATTCCATCATTGAATAAGGTCAAAATCAAGATGAAGTTGCTGGTAAAATTTCCCGCAAACTCTGTTTCCACTTCATATATTCATCCCCTGTTTTCACTTCCTTCCCACTTCTTTCATTCAACAATAATCAACACATGATCTCATGAACAACACTCCCTACAATTTTTCATGCAAAGAACATGGGAAATAACAAGAGATATCAAACCTTGGTTTCAAAAAGCTGGGACTCTGTTTTAGCTTCTCTTTTCTGCAACTAACTTTTTGAACTTTCTCTTCTCCTATACATCAAGATCATAACTCATCTCCAATATAACTCAATGAAATAGGAAATAACATCACACTTCAAGGAATTTTACTTACTTGCAGTTGACTTAATGCTTAACTATGTTTGAAGAGTGAAAGGAAAAGAGCGGGACAAGTAAGAGGAGAATGATAAACATGAAAATAGAAACTTGAACTGATAAGAACAGGTAGTCTCTAGAAGACGTGAGTTGGCTGTGTAACATAGCTAATTGGTACCTCAAGTATACAAAGGCTACAACTTCATACCCAAGCTGTATGTTTTGATGCAAACAAGTCCAAACTTTACATTCACATAAGTCCACGATAAGTCCACTTTATACTCTCATTCCTACCCCAACAAGGCACTTATACTCTCATTCTACCCCAACAAGGTTTGATTCAACCCAACTCAACTTACCTCTATGAAATGACTCAACTCAACTCACTAGGATGTTACATATATTATCATTTTCAATATGTATTCATATTTTGGCAAAATCGTATTACTAATAAATTATTAATATCTATTATATTTAGGTAAATACTTTCTTGTAGATTGTGAATTTTCAAATCGTCGACAATTTCTTGCTCCAGTACGAGGTGTTCGATACCATTTGCAAGATTTTTCTAGTTAAGGTTGTCATCCTGAAAATGTAGCTGAGTTATTTAATATTCGTCGCTCTTCTTTGAGAAATGTAATTGAAAGGATATTCAGTATATTTAAACCTAGATTCACAATTTTTAAGTACACACCTCCATTTCCATTTAACACACAAGCAGAGTTGGTATTAGCTTATGCAGGATTGCATAATTTTCTTCGTAAAGAATGTCTTTCTGACGAGTTTCCTACAGAACCAAGTGATGAATCTGCACCATTGTCAGTAGATGAGCTTGAAGTGAATAATTTTCAAGAGGTATTTGAAAGTCAGAATCAACAATGAGAATGCCAATGAATGGAGAGGCACAATATCTGCAGATATGTGGAGAGATGCTCAAAATGAAAGAAATCAAAATAATGAAGAATGAAGGCAATAAATTCAAAAATTATAAAAGAGAGCATGCACGCTACTTTTGAGAAAATAGTTTTTATGTTTTCATTGTAAAACTTCCATTGATTTGATTTGGTAAAAATGTTAGATTGTTGGCTAAGTTTTGTAGTATTTAACAAGTTAATGTATGATGAATTTGTTTGTATAATTGTGAGTATTTAACATGTATGCGACTTGATTAATTATATAAAAATCATTGTAATTCTATCAAAATCAATTAAAAAAGTCCCACCAATTCCATTAAACTCTATGTAGAATTCTAATAGAATATGTGAAAATCTTAGAAAATCCTTCAATTCCATCAAACTTAATAATTCTTTTAAATTCTAACACAATCCAAATCCAATACACTCCTCATAAATCAGACATAGAACTCTACTATTAATAGCTAACAGAGTTCGCTAATCTTTTAACAAACCAAAAGAATTAATATTCTTTTGAACAATAAAACTAAAATTAAAAAAATATATAATATTCGATTTTCTGCTTAAATTTATTCTTGATAAAAAATATAAATATTTATAGTAACACATAGTTCGTTAAGCGATTTGTACGATAAAATAATAATTCTTCTGATCATTTAATCATGGAATTAGTTAATTCTTAATCGCCTTTAGATTTGGACTTTTCATAGGAAAAGCGGATCTCTTGTAACCAAAAGATAAAAGTAGAAATAAGTAATAATGAAAATCGCGGAGAAGAGGAAAAAGTTAAGTTGCAGTTGGTGGACTTGGACTTTTTCTTGAACATCCTTGTAACCACATTCAACCACTTGGAGTTGGAGTTGGTTTACTTGGATTTTGTTTTTTTCTTTTTTTTTTAAAGTTTTTAATTATTTTCTTCTACTGCCCCAAAGGGTTAGCTTAATGGAAATTGAGTTGGACAAATTTTCGATATTCTTACATTAGATTTTCTGGGCGTCTAAGTAGTTAATTAATTCTCGCTTAGGTTTAAGTCCGTCAATACTTATCAATAATTCCTGTGTGTATTGGAGATTTACCGAAACGGAGAACATGAACTGTCCATTTGCTAAAGATTGGACATCACACCTCATATCGAAAAAAAAAAAAAAAATCGAAAAAAAAAAAAAAACTAAAGATTGGACATCAACCTCACTATCGAAAAATAAAAAAAAAATCGAAAAAAAAAAAAAAAAAGTTTTTTCTACTTTTTGGATTGATAGAAATTGATCCTAAGAGTTGTTTTAAAATAAACTTGTAAATTGTTTTGTTGGATTTTTTGTTTCTGTCTTTTTTTTTTTTTTTTTTTTTTTTTTGTTGTTTTAATATTTATGGGTATTTCGGAAATAGTAATCTGATCCCTCAAAACTGGCTATGAGGGATTGGTGAAGGTGAAGAGTAGCGGTGATAAAGAGAATGATGATGGGAGAAGAAGGGACAACAGGAATTCTTTAATTTTCGTTCAACTAGGGGCATTTTTGTTTTTTTACTATAAATTAAAATCGTAGAAAATAGAGAAAGGACTAAAGAATTGGAAGGCGACAAAATTTAGGAACTTAATTATGCATTTTTACAAAAAAAAAGCAGATAATGACTAGTATTTTATAAAAAAAAAAAACAAAGGAAGGAACGAGGGACCAAAAGAAACAAAATGCTAAGCAGAAACTAGTCTAGGCCAACTAGTGCCACACCGATCCCAGAATAAGAAATCCATAACTTGCTGAGGAGGAGCATTCAACACAGAAATCCGATCCAAAGCTTCCACACCAATGTTGGCCAACACATCAGCCACTTGATTAGCTTCCCTAAAACAATGATGCAAAGAAACAATCCAGTCTTTGCTAAGCCAGCCTCGGATGGTGGACAACAAGTTTGAGTGCCGAAAATTAGTACCACCTGAGTCCTGAACCAGCTGCAACATAACCTTAGAATCAACTTCCACCATTAATTGCCGGCAACCAGACTGCCATGGCCATGAACAGCCGTAGCCAGCCCATTTAAAAAAATGGTGTAATCTTGATTAAATAGGTACTATTATAATGAATGCTTAACAATTACAATACGATATCTATTTTTGAAACTAATTGTAATTTTTTGAAAAAGGGTTTGATTTTTTTTTTAAAAAATCATTAATCATATCTGTTTTATTAATGGGTCTATCACAGTCGTAGTCTAAGTTGGTCTGCCGGCCTTATTCTTCATGGCCCTTTATACAATTTTTGTAACTTGGTCTTTATACAATTTTTGTAACTTGGTCTAATCAGTATCCGATCCATCCCTAATCATTTTGCTAATGGGGCTTGAACATTTTTGCTTAATGGGCCTAATCATCAGCTAGTAGGTTCTGTTTGGAATAAGTCTGAAACTACTATTTAAAATAGCATTTTATTAAAATTTTTACACTTTATTTTTTAGAAATATAAAATCATAAATAACAGTATCAAAATATCAAGAAAGAAATAATTTTATCCATTAATATCTTGAGTGCCCACAAAAAATTTTTTAAAAAAAAAAATTCTTGGAAACTTCTACAAATTTATGCAAAATAGACATAAAATTTCATGAACTTTAGTGCAGTTTGAAAAGTAAAGAATTGTATAACTATAAATAGGCAAACCACAGCTCTCTTCTCAAAATGGCATTGGTAATTGTTCAAAATGTACAAGTGCAAGCCATGCTAAAAAGCCAAATCCTAGGCAAAAAGACACGTACCCCGCATGTATACTCCTACAAAATACTAGTGCAAGTTAAAAAGATATTACCTTTTTCCTTTCCCTTTTTTTTTTTTTACCTAATAATCTACACCAAAATTACCATTCAAAACCCTTTTTTACCCTGTCTTTTTACCATTTTGATCATGAGCTGTCAAAATCTAAGTTTCATACGTTGGCTGGATTGGCTGCTGTTGCTGCTTAAATTAATTGTTTGCCCATTGCAGGTGACCAGTAATCAGCACCGTTGCTGCTTGCCACGTGTACGGTTGATTCTATTGGGACTAGACACAATCCCCTACTTCTCAAGTCCTTTCTTGACGATGTTCCTTCTCCATTTTCTTCGCCCTCCTAAAAATTATTTACCAACGTAAACAAAACAACAAAAGAAGTAACAGTAAGAGTAGTCAAGTCAGAAATATATGCGGGACCCACGAGGTTGGGTCACTCTGGGTCTGGGTCTTGGTCGTGGGTTGAAAATGATATGAAGTCATCTCATCATATCAGAACCATGTAAAACAGATGGGACCAACATAAGATGGGACCCATAAGGTGAAGTGGAAATTTCATACAACAACAAAAAGGAACAACGGGGAGATGATGTGAATGTGGGGTCCAATACTCACAGGTAAGTGTTGCAGGTAAGGAGAGCACAGCACCTGAACCTGGTCTTGCAGGAACCTGATGTATCCCATCGCTTCATGTAGAACCGAAGCCGTATCCGTCTGCAATATATATATATATATATATATATATTTTTATATTTCAATTTCCAAACATGAAACATCCTTATTTACCATTTATACATTTTTCATTAAAAAAACAAAAGGTTCTGCTTTAGTCGAAAGAGTATGTAATTTTAACCACCTTCCGGAAATAAAATAATTACGGTCAACTAAATTCAAAAACATCCTCATGCATTAAACGACAACTAGGTCAAGGGATGAGAAAGGATTCTCCGTTAAGTAGTCGTCCCAGAGTTGAGTTCAGCCAGCGCTTTTACCCCTTTGCAGGCCTATTCGGCACCGCCAGTCAAGGGATCAAAAGATTCTCTTTTAATAAGACGTTTCGAGTTCGACAATTGGTAGCACTTTTACCATTTTATAGGCTTATTCGCTCCAGGTGCGAATCTGGATTACTCGAGCCATTTTGGATACCATAAAATAAGAAGTGCATAAACAGATTTTTCTAAAAAAAAAATTCTTTTTACTAAGAAAAAGAAAAAAAATAAAACTAGGAATGAAGATAGATAATTTTTAAACAACAATAATCATCTATTGGATACGGACAAGTATTTTCCTGAAACAAATATATGTATAGTTTAGTACCTTGCCAAAGGGCGATACAAGCTGTTGCAAGGCAGTGATTCGCTCCCCGAGCTTCTCTCTCCTCACCTATGATTAAAAAACAAATATCATAAATCACTAAACATATATGATGAATCTGAACAGGAATTCAGTGCTCTTAATTGACTGCAAAAGTTAGAATTCAAATTCTGACACTCATTTAGTGATTAAACAGAATGTGAAATTTTAAATGCAAAACTAAAAATTGAAAATGTGTGGGATCTATATGCGACATGCAATGTGAGTTATGTGTTTTATTGTATTAGAGAACGACATGCAAATATGGAAAAATGCCAAAAATACTTATGGACCTTTGGATGGCTAGTGGAAATGGGATTCTCCGTTTTGGCCTTTTTACTGCTTCTTTGACTAGTTAAACCAGTTTTGGTTATGGTAGTAGTGCACTGTACTTGTTCTTGTCCTGACCCATTTCTTCTTCTCTGCAGAAAATTACAAATATGCACATATAACTTTTGTTTATACATACAAAACAAAATCCCAAATAGCTAAAAAGCATAATAATAATAATAATAATAATAATAATAATAAATAACTGTAATCTCTTACATTTGATTTGGAGACGCAACTACTGACATTTTTGTTGCTCTTGCTGGCAGTCGTGGTGGTGGGGGTTACCTGACATTTTTGTTGCTCTTGCTGGCAGTCCGTGGTCGGTGGGGGGTGGGGGTGGGGGTGGGGGTGGGGGTGGTAGCGGTGGCAGAAGAAGCAGAAGAAGAGTCGCTGCATGTGACTCCAGATTTCTGAGGAGTAGTAATAACATTACTGTTGTTATTAACACCACCTTTTTCTTTATTTTGATGACAATCATAATAATCTCCAAAACACAGCATTTTAGGCGGCTTCAAAGAAGAAGAAGAAGAAAACAAATGAGAGCCATGGCCTATATCAAGACCAACATCATTATCTTCATCAGAAAACAGTAGTTGAGAAAAACTACTAGTACTGGAACCTAAACGGTCTCCATCACTATCAGCCATGACAAAAAAATCTCAGTTTTGAAGAGAAAGACAATATTTTTATGACTTAATAACAATTTCTTTATCTCGGTTAGCGGCGTGGTGGCGGTGGCGGTGGCGGTGTAGACAGAGAGAAAGAGGTGGGTATGGAAAGTAGAGCGGAGCAGACTAGCAGAGCAGAGGAGGAGCAGCCGTTACAACAGGGGGTTTGAGTTTGGTGGGGTTATTTTCAAGATTAAGCTTTGGTTTTTGGGGTGTTTTCAGTCAAAGCCACCGGGCCCGAGAAAACCGTGGTTGAGTGGTTCAAAGCAAATTGGTTGGGTTGGTTAAAAACTGAGTTTGCTTTCTTTGTTGATTTGTGTTGTTTGGTTGAGAATGAGAAACTAGAAAGAGTTGTCAAGTAACTACTCACTGGTCACCACAATCACACTGTCACCGACTCAAAATTTTGGGTCTTGGACCGCGCTTTACTAGTTTGACATAAACCCAGAAGTCTTTGTGTATATTATATAGTATAAGGTTTATCTAAACCGGTTTAAGGATTTTGTTTTTTTCTTCCCGTGCATAGTCAGATTTTTTCCTATGCGATCGATCCGTCTTTTTACTTTTCTAAGGACCATGGAGTTTCGTCTTCGAATCTTCTCTTGATTATAAGAGTTTTTATCAATTTTATGAGTTAAAAAAATGATTATCTTTATTGTATAACTTATAGTATTATTATAAAAAAAATTTTCTTCCTAACATATGCTTAGAAATATTATTATTTAAATAAAAACACCATTTATAATTTATTTAGTATACAGGTAGCCGATAATTCATATATTAATTTTTTTGGAAGAATATACCAAATTAATCAAGGAAAAGTTTTTTAAAACTTATTACTGTTCTATTTTTTTTAATAAATAAAAATATTCTCGTTTAAGTTGAAAATTTATTTTTAGTTAATTTAGTGCATAAATAGTTACAAATTTGTTCGGCAAAGTTAATTGTTTTTGTAAGACTTAACTATTTTAGTAACTTTTAACTAAACACTAAAAATTAAATGCCACATAAATTAATATTTTATAACATGCTACGGTAACTTTTAAAATGTAATTTAAACGTTACATCAATTAATCTTTTATAACACGCTACGTTAATCTTTAAAATTTAATTCAAATGTTATATTACTAAATAATATAAAAAATAGCAAAGCATTTAATATTTTGCTATTTAAAAAGCTCTTGCCCTTACAGTTCTCATGTTCTTTCACGCGACCAATTAGATTGCAGTCTGCTTGAGGGGGGCTTTCCACTTTCTACTCGCTCGGTTTGGCTCAAAAAGGAGCTTTCAAGTATTAATCCAAGGGGAGGGAGTGTTTGGCAGTGAGAATCTTACACCAAAGTAGTTTGAGAAAAAGTAAAACCTTATATTTGAAATTGGGCTATAAAAGATTTTTAAATTTTCAGCAAAATCTAATATTTGAATATATATATATATATATACACACATAAAAAAACCCAATAGACTAGAATAACTTTTATGTACTAGCAATACTAATCAGACCTCAACTGATTAGCTAAAATTTGAATATTTAAAATCAAATGTTATTTAAAGAATGAAATATTATAAAAAATATTTTAATTTTACAATTATAAACTGATAGTTAAATATAACTTTTATGTATTATTTACAATAATATATATATACTATTCTTATTACAACCAATTAACAAGAAATATAAATATTATTCAAAAGTTAATTAAATACATCAATTATTGCATGTATATATGTGGTATTCTTGTAATTTAAGTAAAAAAAATATTTAAAGTAAGGCTACATTATTAAATCGTAATTAATATAATCGAACATTTTTATTTTTAAAGAGTATTAATGTAATCTATTATATTGTTTCCTACTTTTCCATAATTTAACTAAATATTTTTCTAAAGTTACTTTTTCAGAAATTGACTTTTCTAGAAAAATAATTTTTCACAATAACATTGAATTATAACCACCAAAACTTCCACATGGTGACACCACTGTCAGAGAATATATAATCTATATACACACACTTTGTGCGCATCAAGGCATAGACCAGTAATAAGTGTATTAGAAGCGTGACAGTAGGTCGAAGTTGGAATCCTTATCCCCCGATGCTGAAAAAAAAAAGTGAAATATCTTGGCATTAAAAGTGATAAAATTATACTATTGTTTAATTTCTTTTTTTCTTCTTTATTTTCTTTAACATTTTGTCACGTCTATTTAAAAAATAAATAATTATAAGTTATCTACTCATTTTTTAAAAAAGAAAAGAAAAAGATCCATCATTAAACTATCATTCTAGCAATATAACTAGCTTAGAGAAATTAGAGCAGAAATTTATTTGTGAAATTGTTTGATTAATCATGCACTAAAAATAATGTTGAAAAAAAGTTTTTACTATATTCATAAGAAAAAAAAGTTTTAAACACATATAATAACATTTAGAAGACATAAATCAAAGTAAATTAAAAGAAAATTAATAAGTACCTTCATGAATTTACAATTTTTGTACCTTGCTAGAACAGAGTATAACTATTCTTGCTACTAAATTTCAGATTCACTTGGAGAAAGCAATCACCATGGCAAAACTCAACCACGATAATCTAAATTTCAAAAACATAAAGCCTTTGGCTTGCACGGAAAGAAAAATTCATTAATGCTGATTCACAAGTCATTATAAGAAAATCATAGGAACCTGAAATTTGTAAATGAAAATAAAGCTACCTATTTCCCCTTCAACCAAATTCTCAAGAGGCGCCTGTGACACTAGAAACAAACAATTATAGTTTTTTGCTAACTATTTTGACAATTAATAAAGAAAACTGGAAGTGATCAATGGGATTCTCCAGTCCGCTGCCTTTTTTAAAGTAGTGGTCTGGCCAGTGAACCAATATGTTTGGGTTTATCATATAATCTGACAGTCTATTACTATCTATAGGTTTCTCTTCGAGTTTGACAAGTTGGGAGTTGATCGGAAATCCTGATTTCGAGTGCCAACTCCAATTTAAAAGAGGTTTTTGGTTCCATTATTCTATTCGATGGGTCAAAGAGCCTTGCTAATAATTTATAGAAGCACCAGAGAAAATAGTAGAACGTTGAAGAACTGTATTCACTGCCATAGAGAAAAGACACATGCTCATTCATCAAGAATGACAATGACAGCAATGACAGTGCCCAATGATCCTTCCAAGTTACAACCCTCAAACAGCTAATACTCACATGGTATAACTTCTATCTATGAGCATGCAATTTCTCATTTAAAAGAGACAGATTGTTGTATCCTAAAATTCAAAATCAACCTTAAGTTGAGCAAAGAAGTTGGCAGTAACCTATAGAATAAACCTGGCATTTGCTTAAGCTACTGTGTCCATTTTACACAGTGATTAGTCTGTCACCTCAAATAAGCATTCAAATATGTGGAACTTCTCTTACTTTTTCATTCAGTAAGGTTAAAAGCGGAAATATTGATGTCCTTCATCATACATGATGAAATGTGGAAAACATGACACATGACATCCATTAGTTCAATACTCTAGAAGACTACAAATCCTAAAGGATGAATCGCATCATTATTGAGCATGTAAGCTTGTTGAGGACAACACAGATATATGGCTATAAACACATCAAAGAGTTAATGATAGATGCAGAAGACATAATAGAAACACATATTCGAAAAGATTAAAGATAAGAGAAACTGAAAGGAAATGGTCAAACAATTATTGGTCATATTACTCGAAAAAGAATTCTCCCATATCTCACAAGGCTTGAATCACTTATAACTCCTAGCATTTATGTGGATTTGAATTCAAATTTTATCATATTACAATAAACAGGCATGTTTTCCTTACTATAATATTATTTATTGGAATCCTCAAATAGTATCAACCGTAATTAGGTACAAGCATATGTTAACATCATGCTAATACATCAGACAATAGCATCCCAAAACAACTCAGGAATAGCTTTGTTAAAGAAATCAAAAACAAAAGGAGAACTCATCAATGTAATAACATTTAGTAGACACCAAATCAATTGAGAAATTTTGGTTCAAGAACCTAATAAGAAAAACAAGTAAAAGGCCTTGGTAATTGTATAACAAGTTCTGTAAAAGTATCAATTTAGTAGAAGCAGAGAAATAACTTTAACGATATATGTGATTTCCTAATTAGGCCCAAAACTAAAGCAAAGAAAGAAATGAAACTCCTAATATCCAAAGTTCATCATTCCAACTTAGCATATACACAAGACCATAGCTTCGTCATTTGTTTAAACGAAAGAGAATCAGAAACATAAAGACTTATTCACCATCATTTGCTAGCATATACACAAGACCTTAGCTTCGTCATTTGTTTAAACGAAAGAGAATCAGAAACATAAAGACTTATTCACCATCATTTGCTAGCATATACACAAGACCTTAGCTTCGTCATTTGTTTAAACGAAAGAGAATCAGAAACATAAAGACTTATTCACCATCATTTGCTAGCATATACACAAGACCTTAGCTTCGTCATTTGTTTAAACGAAAGAGAATCAGAAACATAAAGACTTATTCACCATCATTTGCTAGCATATACACAAGACCTTAGCTTCGTCATTTGTTTAAACGAAAGAGAATCAGAAACATAAAGACTTATTCACCATCATTTGCTAGCATATACACAAGACCTTAGCTTCGTCATTTGTTTAAACGAAAGAGAATCAGAAACATAAAGACTTATTCACCATCATTTGCTAGCATATACACAAGACCTTAGCTTCGTCATTTGTTTAAACGAAAGAGACTCCTTCCTGTTGGACCTCTAGCTATGGTTAAGACAAACAATTTGATTCAACAGGTTTTTTTGTTTCCAGCATTAACTAATATATTCTGTTTATCAATTATTGAATTAATGTGCAACACGATTACCTGGGTAGAGGTGACTATTCTACTAAACTTTGCGGCGGATCTTGCTTCCGTTCCGCTGAGCTTTGTGTGATTTATGAGAGAGTAGTGGTCTGGCCAAGTGAACCAAATGTTTTGGGGTTTAATGTCAACTCTACATACGCATAAGTGCTGAAGTCTATTACTATCTAGAGGGGTTTCTCTTTCGGACGTTTGGACCAAAGGTGGGAGTTGATGTTCAGGAAACACTCTCCCACTAGTCTGGAAAGTTAGTGAATTCGGAGTGCTCCAACTCCTAATTCATTTAAAAGAGGTTTTTTTGGTTCCATATTATTCTATTCGGATTGGGGGGTCCAAAAGGCCTTTGCAATGAATTTTGTGATAAGGCTGAAGTCCGATTACCAGGAGGAAACAAGAATATAAAAGTGTAGGAACGCTTTACTTCGATAACACACTGTATTCACGAGCTTGCCATAGGAGAAAAGACACAGCCTGCATGCTGCAGTGTACATATAATATGTGCATCAATTTGACTCAGGCAATGACAGTCCCAATGATCCTTTCCAAGTTACAACCCTCCCAAACAGCTATACAAGTTCATCCCATCATGCCGGTGTTAGAGACTAAATACTTGGTAGTTCCTTTGTTATAG